AATTTCGATCAATAAACTGTTTTTCTTAGTTTCCTCTTTAAGAAAATATGCACTTCCTTCAATTTATGCAGTTTTGTATGTATTGTCATCATTTTTTTTATTATGTTTAAATGTCATTACTCGTTCATTCAGTATCACGACAATGTACATTCATCTAGGGTTTATTTAAGAAAATTTTGAGATAATGTCATCAATTTTTGGAAAATCTTCATAAACTATTTACAAAGCTTGCAAGACTTCAGATCAGCGGTTTAACAATTTCAATACAATTATGATTTATTTTTCCAAAAATCTGGATGTCTAAGGTAAAAACTCGACACGGATTCAAAAACCACAAGTGAAGGAGTATCTTATTCTATAAAATTTAAAAAACATTTACTGTTGTAAATATTGGAGATGACGTCATTCCATTGTCATTGTTGGGGACGATTATTGGAAAAATTTTTGTTGGTGTTTTATTATCTACACGATTTTCCAAATAGATGACAGGCATAAGGAAACGTGGGACCTATTTTTTCGTACTCTGAGGGTCATGAAACGTCGAGAAAACATGAAATTAGCCACTTGTCGGATGAACCCCATTACAATATTTCCTTGACTTACGATCGGGAAGTAAAAAAAGCAGAAAGCTGAGTTTTATTATTAATATTAATTACATAATACTGTTACGTTGTACAGGTATTTAAAATCGGCGTGAGTAAACTCAACAATTTTATTTTTTAGTAACTCGGATTTACACGACTAACTATTACAGCGATAATGTACAAAATAATTCCGGCACAACTTGATTGAACTCTCTTAAGTCTTGACTCAACTGGCCGAATCATCATCGTTCCTGAAGGTGGCCTCTATTTAATCCCATACTTCGGCGATCGAGGTCTTTCTCGAATACCCATCGCGACTTCCGCTTCCAAGCTTTTGGAAACGCCACTCGGCCATTGGCGTAGAAAGCTCTCGACGGTCCATAGGCGTCGTACAATACTAAACTTGATTTTTATATCTCAAATAATACACGCAAAATATTCATGTCATGTCACTACTATAAATATGCAACATCTAATATAGAGGTGATGAACGAAGCATGTTTACCGAGGCTAAAGGTTAATAAAATACAGGGTGCGTCAATACGCGTTCCTCGAGATCTCATTAATTATTACAACTAGAAAAAGAAATCATTGAACAAAGTTGTATGGTTCTTTGTGGGCTGTACTCAAAATTTTTTTAACAGTTCATAGTGTTCTGTTTTTAAGGCATAACACACAACTTAGGTTTTTTTTTAATGAAACACCCTACATATTCGTACATATTTTATTTTACCTTTTCTTAGGTTTTACAACCATCGTTTACTTTTGCAATTTAGATGTGACGTTACCAGACCATTCCAATTTTCTTGAAATTTTTTAATAATATAGGTACTTTACAAGTTCACAAAAAAATTGCAGCAAGCTTCCTAATATAAATACACGGCGGACTCGATTACAATACAAAGTAAAAATGGATAAAACGCAAAAAGATCGAAAAAATGAATTTGCAATGTTTGCACAGTTGACGTAGAAGCGGAACTAAATAATTTTACCGAAAAACTTTTTAAACCCCCTAGAATCGCGTATACTTGGATTCCTTTGGGAATTATATCCCTACTATTGACAAAATTACGAATAAGGAGTTTCGAAGCAGGTGATATGAACGCATCATCTACTTCCAAGAGAAATATTATTAAATAAAATATATATTAGGTATGTTATTTTAAGATTTATTAGAAAAATATATTTATTTCTATAGTGTGTATTTTTTATTATTTATTATTGATTCATTAGTAATTAACAATGAAAAGGATTAAAATCCAAAGGTTGTTGTATCAAAGTTTTCTAGAATAACTCTCTTGTCATAAACAAAACCAAATTCTTTTGTTTCTAGTTTATTTAAAAGTTCTTTAGTTTTAGTTTCTCTGGTAGGTAATTCGATGATATTGTGCACTGATTTTCTTATGTTTGTTTTCTAAAATATTATTTATACTATCGGAGTTAATCTTTTTGGACGTGTCATAGTTTAATATTCTAGATCCTTTTATTTTACAAACAACTTTACCTGTATTAGCCTTATTATAACAATAACTCTTTGGACCTGATGATACCCATCAGTCAGCAATCCTGTATCCTGTTTTAAAAGTGTTTTTGCCATTATCTATATATACAATGCTATCTGTATCATAACATACTACAGCTTCTCCTAATATATCTAACATTTCGCACAATCTTAGTCTTTCATTTGCAGTTGTAAAAGCAGCTATGAATACATTGGTACTAAAATCGTTCTCTACATAGCAATAATAGTTATTTATGTACCAAGGGCACAAAGAAGATGTTTATATTCGAGGGCAACGTTTACAAAATCGAGGGCCTTTGGCCCGAGATTTTGTAAGTTGCCCGAGATTTATAAACATCAAGTTGTGCCCGTGGTGCATACAAACTTTTATTTTTCACGAGAAAATCTAAAAAAAAGACTAATTTATATAATTAATTCGTAAAAAAAAAAATTACGTGGCGTTGATTTTGTTGTCAAGGAGATTCTATGTTTATTGCAAACACGGCGTCTATTCACGGTGTCAACACGTATATTTTCGACCGCGGAAATGAATGAGGAAAATTGTGAAATTCCAGAAAACATTGTGAAGAAAGCCCAAAAAGCCAATGAAAATGTGTTACCTGGAACATCAGGATCCATATATGACAAAGAATACAAAATTTTCCTTAATTGGAAGATTAAGAAGTGGCTTACTTCCAAGAATTGGTGAGTTATTCTGTTTATAAAATAATTATTTAACTGTGTTCTTCATTTTTAGTCAGAAAAATATTCACCCAGTTCCTTATGGTGAAAATACTCGATGGTCAAGACAACTTTAAGAGTAAACGACAACATAGACATTTCTAATTATCATCGTTTGACATATTTCTATAAAAAAAACCCAAAAGGTTATGTGGCAAAAAAATCCCAAGTTTTGACTGGCGAACAAGTCATGCAATTTCTAAAAGATGCTTCCGACAACAGATATTTACTTCAGAAGGTAAACTAAGTTATTTTTTGATAATTGTAATTAATTTAAATACGAATGTTTTATGCTGTAAAGGTAGTTGGAGGATGAGTGAACACAATTCAAGATTTTTATATAATACGTTATTCGGTGCTAGCAGAATGGAAGCAGTGGCAGAAATAATTCCAATAGAGGCACCTTCGAAAAGTTTAAGTTTACCTGAATAGTTTGGTATGAATAGCAAGTTTGTAAATTGTAATTTGTATCTTCGTTATTAAATAAATTGTCAAAAAATAAATAAGTAGTTAAAAATAAACAATAATTTTTTTTAATTTTTGTTTAATTCGGTTTAGCAAAATAGGGCATAATGAGAGGGCGTAATAACTCTTTATGCCCGCTCATTGTGCCCCGGATATAAGATGCCGCTTTACGTTTATCAAATCATGGATATAAAACAAACATTATATACGAGTGAAAAATAAAATATATTTGTAAAATATTTTCATTTACATCATTTATATGTATATTATCAAGTCTATCATCTAATAAAATTTCATAAAATCTTTTAACATCTGTAACATTTTTGTTTCCCCCATATTTCGTCTTTGGCCAAATTTACCCCATAAAGAATTTAAGCATATTTTTGCTACAGCGATTATCAATATTAAAATTAAATTTTATATCCCTAATTTTTCGACTGAATGTCATAAGGTAACGTTTATCTTTTTTCAGTAACAAATGATTATCTACACACCATTGAAAGACTTTATCCATGGTAGAAGGAGACATGGTATAGGCATCCGATGTACCAATTTAAAAATCGTCTGCGCATCCATTTGTGACGTTAGGTGGCATCAACGAACTTGTGACTCTTGTGAGCTTCGCTAAGGAAGTCTAGGGAATATCAGCTTGAGTTGTGATTGCTCTGTCCAGTACGTCAATTAGTTGTCGGCTAACGAAAGTTAATGAAATTAATAATGATAAAAATGTAATTATTGAAAGTTGAACGGTCCAAAAATGTGGTTTCGTATCAATTTCGATAAATGTAGGACATCAGCAAATGCAAATACCAATTTGCTCTTATCTCTTGAGTGTTGAAAAGAGGTTTTTGACATATTTATGCTCAGTTCTCTCCATAAACCTAAGTTCTGCGATCACATCACACATACGACTGCAACAACTGAATAATCACAAATAAATTTTTGCAATTTAAAGAATGTATTTTAAATTTCGCGCTAATTTCACCCCACTTGACGTCACACCCGATGCGTATGCCTATACCATGTCTCCTTCTACCATGACTTTATCAATGCTTTGTTGCGAACGGAGGCAGTCATTATATCATTCAGTAACACAATAGATCTTAAGGTCATCGGCAAATTAAAAAGAACAGTGAAAAGTTTCTGAAGTACAACTAACCTCGAATTTCAACAGATGATCTATTATACTTAAATACTGATTAATTATTTTTCACAGGCTACGCAGACTTCGATAAACCACAACATTCGTTTTTCCTCATAGTAGAGTCAATCTGGGTATGAAACCGTGCATTTTGGATAACCAACAGTTTATTTTAGTCTCGTAGAGGCTCTACTACCCTTGTTTAGCACATGAGTTAAGTGGTAATTAAGTTCCTCACTTTCTACTTCCGGACCCACGTAATTTGCGCCACATTTTTTTAAAAGTAGTAATAGATCTAGATACTTTAGTGGTGTTGTGCTTTGACCACCATCTTGAAAATACAATACATGCAATTACATATTTTTTTTATATGTGTAACCACAGAAGAGGACGCACACACAAACATTTTTCCAGCTTAGTACCATGATCGAAAAAAGCTCCTCTAATAGGCCGTGTAATTTATTTTTAAAATAATGATGCTGGGCATGCTTTGACTGTAACTGTCATTCGTGTGGGCGTGGCAAACACAAACATTTATGAAATAATAGTGTACATAACTTTGTTAATAAATCGTTTAATGGACACTAAAACAGTAATTATGTCATACAACAATACACTACAGTTAATATATTAAAAAAATACATAAATATGGCTAGTTAATTTACTTTGGTGGTGGCATTGTACAATAAGTTTTGTTCTTCTTGGCAACCGTTTTAATTTCTTTTACTTTGGAAGCAAATCGTAAAGAATGTATGCTTTCCAAAAAACACTCCTCAAAAGGTGAAATATTAACCAACATTAATGTCTTAGAATTACCACCAAGACAAGACTGCAGCAAAAATGTCAATTTCGAGTTTCTGTAAGGGATGTGTTGATCCTTATTATGCAATGCTAACATTACATTTCCCAGTGTAGACAAACTCTTATTTATGTTTTTGGTTTCGTTCAGTCTTTCTGGGCCGCTTGTTCTAGCACTTTCAGAACCCGCCAAATCCACTAAATTTATCGACCCTGAATATTTCGCTTTGGTTTCCGCATTATACCCTTCGAGATGAATTTTAGTTATTGCATGAGATCTCGAACTGTGCTCATTAAAATTTGTCGCTGCAACTGCCCTGTTCTTCTGCGCTTCTTCCATAACAACTTTCAGTTCTTCCGCTGAGGAAATTGGAACGATTTCGAGATTGGTGACTGTTACCCCGCGTCCTTCATTGTAGTGCACTTCGTAATTGTGTGTACTATTTGGAACAAGAAGGTCTCGTATATTTTCATTGTATATTTCAAGGAAACTTGCTGACACGGTGTAGGTCCAATCCGAGGTTGAAAGTTTCTCAATCTTTTTGAAAATCAAGTCCACAGTTCTTGGAATCATGCCTGCACAGTAAATCATACGTTAATAAAACTGCTTACACTAACTTTAAATTCAGCTTACCAAAATCGTTCGACGACCCTTGCATTGTGTATGTTTTTCCAGATCCGGTCTGTCCATAAGCAAAAACACACACGTGGTAACCGTCCAACGCTGACTGAACTAACTGCGCCAGCTCTTCAAATACTTCGGCTTGATTAGCTTCAGGCGGAAAAACTTTATCAAAAGAAAACTCTTGTTTTAGATCGACGGGTTTTCCGCTGATAACACTAACGCTTTCTCGAGCTTTTCGGATTTCCAGGGACGTTTCGTTCGGGAAAAAGATTGCGCAAAGTTGTCTTTCTGTCTCTTCACTGGTGACTGGAGGCCGAACTCTGCAGAAAACGCGGATATTCCCTTTCATATCCTGGATGGTGTTATGCAAAGATCGTCTTAGGGTATCGTGCTCCTCTAAATCTTGCTTTAATTTCGATGTTAAATTTTCTAATTGTTGGCACCGATTTTCTAAACGAATGTTGTTTGATGTTGATTCTTGAAGCATGTTTTCGGTGCTAGAAATTTTTCGCAAGTACTCCTTAGATTCTTCTTCAAGTTTATTATAGGCTTCTGAATGGAGACGACATGCGGTTTCCTGCTGTGACAACTTTGTTTTTAAAGCTAAATTTTCGTTAAAAAGATCTTCTGCTTTCTGTTTAGACTCCTTTTCAGCTTCTATTAAGATGTTGTGTTCTTTTTGAAGACTTTTATAACTGTCTGCAAGACCTTGGTACTCTTTTCTATGTTTTACAACCGCTTCAATAAGGGAAACGTTTTCTTTAGAAACAGACTTGAGGCGATCTTGCAACTTTTCCTCGTTTTCCTGAATAACTTCTATTTTCTGGAGGTTGCGTTGGTTTTCGGTTCGGAGACCTTCCACTTCTTCCTCTAGTTGTGGTACATCTGTAAACATGTTCAATGACAAACTTTACCACAAAATAATGTCTATATACTGACTTGCAACTTTGCTCTTGAGTGTTTTGTTGTCCTCCAATTCCACGGTGTATTTTTTTTGCAATTCTAAGAACCTGGATTTATAATCCCAACTTGGAATCTTCACTTTAGCCACCTTCGGTTTGTTCTCATCGTCGTTTTTTTGCAAGGCGGGCCTTTTTTGTGCAGGTTTAGTTGAAGCTACTTTTGACAGCATCATCTTTCCTATTGTTATTGGTTTTGATTGCAGTGCTAACAAATCCGATGCAGACTTCGAACGACGTCGAAGCATAGGTCTCGGTTGTACTTTCGAAGCCAAGGCAGGTTGTTTTAGTCCGGTAGCCGATGCAGCAGGTCCAAAGGGCTTGTTTTCAGAAATGGTTGCCAGAAATTTCGGATTTATGTCCGCTTTCACGATCCTAGTAGGTGGTTTAAGGAACGATTTTGGTATTCTTGAGTCCATCGTTGTAAACTGTGAAAATGAAAAAAACTTTTTTTGCTATGGGCTGATAAGCATTTTATAATGTCACCATAAAATTTATTATTACAATGCCTATTGCCTAGAATTTAAGAAAAAGAAATTTAAATCAAAGAATTCGGCCGCCATCTTGAAAATAAGATATATTATTACAACAATTGCCCACAAATATTACTAATAACTTTTCAGAGTATCGTTAATAATAAAAAAGTAATCAGAAAAAACATAACAAACTAACATGAAAAAATATGTAACAAAATAACCCGTGCATTAAATCCCATTAAAAAATAGTACCTCTTCGTGTTTTTTTCTAGCATTTCCTTATAAACGATTACTATTTACTCTATTTTATAAGACCGTAAGCTGTATAAATCGTGTACTTGAAAAGTGAAAATTTCCATAATAAAATTTTGGAATAAAATAAAAAAATATATAAAAAACCTTCACTTTCTTTCTACCAAATCCACATCTTCTACATTTGAAAACCTATCATTCTTTGAGAAAAAAAAATATATAAACCAAAAAACTGTTTTTACAGAGTTCAATTTCGAGTCTCCTCAGTAAATTTTCAAAATTAATATTCCAATACAAGATTAAGTCAACCACGGCAAAAAAAAGTTCTAAATCTTGTTTGCTACAGTTAATTATAATTCCCCATTAGCCGTCTTACTTCTTGTCCCATTTCCATCCCTCATAAATCTTCCCTTTTCTCCGTTAGCTAACTAAATTTTAATTAATTCAATGCTTTACCTTTTTCGTTAACTATCAGTTTACCATCTGAAACTAGTTTACAACATAAGTGTGGAATCCAATAATAAATCCATATTCTTGTGTAGGATTGAAAACACTTTTAAACGTCCCCTAGTTGTTCAAATTTTCCGCTCATAACTTTTTTAGTATTAACATTACACCGAAAAGTTGTTAATAAAAGTTGTAAATAATTATATTGTGTACAAAATTACTCCTTACAAATTTCTTGCCAGACTTACGGTTACGGAGATAATTTAAAAAAATCACCCTTACTTTCAAGATGGCGGCTTATTTCATTGACGAAAGCTCAGTTTTGCTTGGTCTCTGCAATCGACTTTTTATATTACTTTGAAAGAAAAAAAAAAAAAAACCGGTTACAAAAAGGTTTGATGTTTTCTTGTATTCAGTTCTTTTAAAAAGGATTCGAATCAATGTTAACTTGAATGTCTGTATGGTGGGTATTTTAAAAATCTACTACATGATTGGCTATTAATGTCAGCTGTCACTAATTTTGTAATTTTTGTCAGGAATGTACAATATAATAACGAACTGAATTGTTACAGATATTTTAGTGAGCTGGATTGTAATTGAGTACAATCAGTGCACAGAAGAAATGTTATAATTATGGAACTAGAGCATAATATGTTAATATGAGATAATATTACGATAATAAAAAGATAACTAATAGTTACTTACGGATTCTAAAATATAACTTGGATAAGCGAAGAAATTAAGGTTGCACACGCAAATTCAGGGTCGTTGTCGTATACAATAAAACAATAATGTTAACTTAAATCACTTGTAAACTGTTTAAAATAATTCCCGGATTAAGAAACTTGAAAAAACGACCACAATCCACATAACCAAGCGCCACTCGCGCTGTCTAAAATTTACTCGAATTGTCGTTACGTCGTTGAAACTTTAAATTCAAAATCTCGAGCTGTGATTGGTCGACCGTGGTATTAGGCGTCTGCCCACCGAACTAGTTCACTGTGTAATATTGGTTGCATATGTAGATCATTTCGATATGTATTATAATAATGGTAATTTATTGCTGCTGAGTAGTTTATTTTTTATATAAAACAATTTCTATAATTTTATAAAAAAAATATATACAAGTGCCATCCCATTCGATGCAGAAGTAAAAGAATTAGAGTTTTCTGGTTTCACTAAATTAAAGGTTAGTTTACACGTTGCCAATGTCCACGCAAGCTGAAAATGCAACCCAAACTACATTTTCAGAAATTTTGTAGATTTATTTTTCAATTTATTAAAGAGATTAAACAAGTTTTGGCTTTTGAATATTATTGATTGTCAGAGAGTAAAATGTATTCAGTTGATGTATTCTTGGCTGCTCAGCTTAATGCAGAACATTTTCTTGATATAACGAGTACCAGTACGTACAAAACTGGAAACTTGTTTTGGAGAAAATTGTTGGTCGCCTAATCACCTCTTAAAAAACTTCGAGAAAGAAGAACTACAGGCGTGGTAAATGAAATCACGATTTTGGAATTAGTGAACAATAATCATCATGTAAACAACTAATAGAGCAGCAAGTATTAATTAATTTAGTATTATTACAAAAATTGAAATCCATAGATCGTCCGAAAAGACTAATCCTTTGAAATTTTTAGAAAACATAAAAAATTTTATCACCACTTTTACTAATTGGGTCTCTTTACGGAAGAAGCAAAATGTTCAAATCATGGTGGAGTTAACAAGCATAACTGTCATTACTACAGCCAAGACAACTCGCACTAGTTTAAAGAAGCACATTTTCAAACGTTTGGTGTGGGATCCTCGGGAACGAATTTATTGATCCTTATTTTTTTAGACATATGTACTTCCAACGGAAATTCTTGTTTAAATTTTATTTAAACTAATTTACCATTATTTATCGAAAACGTTAGCACGGTGCCTCTGCGCATTGTCATAGCGGGGTGCAGGATTAGCTTGAGTGGACTGAAAATGGTGTCTGTTAATCCTTGGCCACCAAACTTCAGTTGACAACCTAGAACATTTGGAAAATAAAATAAAAGAAACCACCATATAATCTATGTCATCAGATAGTTTAATGCGGATAGAGATGGGTTTCTGGAGTTGTTTACGGCAGTTGCGAATTTTTTTCATGGTAATTTGTCGTTCAAAAATAAGAATTTTTCAATTAAGCTTCGCCCTTCGGCTCACAACCAATAAAAAAAATCATCAGAATCGAAATAGAGCGGGCGGGCGGGCGGGCTTTATATTTTGCCTATTTTTTCTTAATATGTGTACAATTATTTCGACAATAAGAAACTTAAAACATGTCTAAAATAGTAAATTTTTCTTGTAATCAACTTAAATCCTCTACTACTCTTCTTATTAAATAAACGAATATGTATGAATCCTATATTAGGTAAAATACCACATTTCAGTTTTTTAATCTTGATTAAAATATTATGAGATACATTTTGTAAACCCCACTCATTATGCTTTGTAAAACGACGCTTTAATTATAATCACGATATTGAAATTTGTTGTTGACCTCAACATCATTTTATTACAATTATGTCGCTAATAATATTATTTTATTCAGTTTTGGCCACATTTATTTAGAGGCTATCACAACATTAAATCACAGTTGGTTGTTTGGAAACAATAATCACTGAAATTGCAACAAAGCGCTTAAATATTATTCGCAGCTTGTACCATGAAAAAGCAAACTGATACTCTGCTATTTGAAACACTGGAGCGACTAAAAAACCAAAAATAAACCGAATCAATTTAACGGAATGAACGCAACATTTTCCTTTGAGTTTTTCCGTGAGTCCTTTGATGGAAACAAATGTAATTTTAGATTAAGTACTTGCACAATAGAATTCTAGTAATTCCTGTTGCCTGTAATGTCGTTAGCCAGCGTGCAGTCAACGTAAAGTGGGTTGATGTTATCAATTTCTCCCAATAAGCCGCCATTTTCGAAATTCAACCGCACCAATGAAGGTAATGGAAGTGTATCTTTTGTGAGAAAATCGGCTCAGGTGTCCCATATGACCCGATGGCTTATGTTCTTTTATAAATTGAATCTTGTCGATACTGTTTCGCAAGTAATAAAAGCAGTACTACTGACGACGATGGAGCCAGGAAACTCTAAATGCGTTTTAGGGAGTGCACAGGTGTTCTCTTTTTTAAGTTAGATTTAATATTATTTCATATTTTTTATGTCGTAGTTAATTTTTTATTGTTTGAAAGCATCATATAACAGCGGCTCAAATGCATAACGTGCTATTAAGAACAAACTACCTTGTTATATAAAACTTGCAGGGATAAGAATGTGTTGTAATTTCGTTACGAAATTTGGACTACTTTTTGATTTAATATGAACAACCGATGTAAATATGTACCTATATCGGGCGATCAATTCGAGTCAAGCTTGGAAAGGATTTAGCACACTGATTAATGCTAAAAAATGTCAATGACGCGCTGTAGTCTCATCGTGTTGAAAATAACCTACGTAGTTCCATTTCATCGTCGTGAAGGTGAGGTATAAAATTTGTAAAAATTTTTTGGTGATATTTATAGCTCATATTTTTAGGGTGTGGATAAAATTATGCAACATAATATATACAAAATAAGGGTGACCTTGACTAAATTTATTTTCAATTCTATTCGAAAATGTGTATTCCAAGAGTACATGTTGAAATAAATGAAACAAAAAATTTTAGGTTAACAATAATGACATTTTAAGAAATTGTTTAGGGAAAAACGTCAATGTTGACGTTTATTTTTTTTTGTTACAAAACACACTAATTCAAAACAGTTTACCACATATGAAAATTGTTGGGTTAACTGTGAAATTTTAAATAAACCATAGTTTCATCTTCTCAACTTCTCAAGAATTTCATGTCGATTGCATTAACTCCTTTTTTTGTTTTTTTTTCGCTGTCTATATTTCATACTAAGCATTAGAGCTGGTCTTATTACCATTTCAATTTGTTTCGATATTTTCCTTTTTCCGTTTTTTTTTTTCATTTACCTGTTGAATTATTTTTCCGATGCTTTGTACTATTTTTTTCGTAAATATTTGTAACTCTGCACTTATTCTATTATTTTTCTTTGTAGTCTTATGTTATGCATTTTCTTTTCTCTTGAGATTATCATACTTGTGGTTTCTTATTCGAGGTGTATTTTCATATTTATTTTTGATATCTCCCTGTTTAAGACTTTAAAATTCGTTTCTAGATTGTCTGTTCTTTTTGATATTATGGTCAATGCATATCCACAAATATTGTTTTGTTCAGGTACATGGTTGCATCTGCCAGCACCCCACTTTTAGGTTTTTCATTGTCTTCTCAACTTTATTGCTTGGTCCAATACCATTGATTTATGGGAGTCGACTCAGCCTTTATCCCTGCTTCACTACCATCTTTGTTTTAAATTGTTGGTTCTGAATATATCTATTTGTGTTCTTTTTATATATTTCTTTTGTAGTTTTTATTGTTCATTAATCTATTTATCTTTTTTCTAGGGTTATCCACATCTATTCTCTTCTTGTACGGTCAATCGATTTTTCCATGAGTATAAATAACATGTATCTTTTTCTTCTTGTATAAATTTTTGCTTGTCTAATCATAAATATTATGTGTCCTTTTTCACTTCTCCACCCACATTGAGAGTTTTCTATATATTGGTTTTAATCTTTTTTTAATTCTCGTTTCATTATTTTTGCTAAGATTTTTCCGGAGATTCTCTTGTCCCGTTTTTTATATTTCATTAATTTTTCCAAATCTTGTGTTATCTTTATATTCTGTATTATTGCATTTATTCGATTCTTTGATTGTTCTCTTCCTTTTTCTGTTATATATTACATACATATTTCATAGTTTTTGTGGTTATATTATCTCTCCTCGGTGCTGTCCCTAATTTTGTCTTTCGTGTGGCTTCTAATAATTCTTCTTATTATATTATTTCTATTTTATGTGATTCATTCTGCTCCTCCTGTTTTTTCTTTTCATCTAGGTCATTCTTCAACAATTCTTGGAAATGTTTTTTCATCTGTCCGTTATTTTCTCTTATGTTTCTATCTTTCTCTTTTATGTTGGTAATACCACTTATTTTTTTCTTTGTTTAGCTGTTTTTAAGTCTTCCGGAAAATAGTGTTTGGTTTCCTCTGTAATTTTGGGTCATTTCTTTATTGTCTACTTGATTTTTTTTTTGTCTTTTTTTTGTATGCCTCATAATCTAATAGGCTTTTTGTGTTTATATATCCTTTTCATCTACCTTTTTTTTATTCTTTGTTTATATTTCTATGGTTTCTCTTCATCTAGGTCATCCTTCAACAATTCTTGGAAATGTTTTGCCATCTGTCCGTTATTTTCTCTTATGTTTCTATCTTTCTCTTTTATGTTAGTAATAGTATTTATTTTCTTCTTTGTTTCAGCTGTTTTTAAGTCTTCCGAAAAATAGTGTTTGGTTTCCTCTGTAATTTTGGGTCATTTCTTTATTGTCTACTTGATTTTTTTTTTGTTTTTTTTTTTGTATGCCTCATAATCTAATAGTCTTTTTGTGTTTATATATCCTTTTCATCTACCTTTTTTTTATTCTTTGTTTATATTTCTATGGTTCACCATTCTGTTTTCTTATGTTTTTGTTTGTTATTCTTGTAGTGCTACAGCTGCATCCAGCAAGTTATTTTTGCATTGGTTATTTTTCTCGGTATTTTACATTTTTTTGCTGCTTTATTCCGTCTTCTTTTTTTACTTTTTCTTTCATTATCTCTATTTTTACCAAATAGTGATCACTTCCTATTTTCGCTTCTCTTTTTGCTTTTACATTTTGTACGACTTCATTTTCTTAAATTTAGTGTTCCTTATTTCTAAATCTGCCACTTAAGCTTTCCATTATTATCACATTTTCCTCTGC